AGCTCATGGATTTTGGCAGGACCCTACTCCGGACCTTCCGGATGCAGATCATGATGGCATCCGACCCCAGCATCCCGCTCTCCAAACTTCGCGACCGCCTTCGCATGGCTGTTCATGTGGCTCACACCTTCGCGAGGGCAACCCAGCCTCTCGTGTAACGGCGAGCTACCCAACAACAACAACAAGAACAACGACTGTTGCGATGCCGATTGTGTCGTATTTGTGGACACGACGCATCTACATGCAACGTACGCAGCGCAGCCAGAAGAAATGACTTGCAGCACGGACGGCCGCCAAAAAACGGCGAGGGGCTGCCCGCCGCTTATGAAGGCGGACAACGGCAGCCACACCCATTCCACCACCTCCCACCAATACCCACAGGCGTCGCACCGTACCGCCGATGCTTCATCAGATCTCTCAAATCGCCCGACGCAATCGTCGGGAAGGGCGATGGAGCTTATCCGCCAACGACGCTCGACTGTGGTACCGCGAAGCACCGACATCCCCGCTTTGGACCAGCTGTGTGAGGAGAGCAAACGAGGCGGCTCGAGAAATGTGTGCGCCGTCAGCGTGGTAGCAGAGAAGGCCTCTAGCGGGGCAATTCACAACCTTATGCTGCACGCACGAACAGCCGATCAACGAGGAGGGCTGCGCGGCCCTTTTTGATGGCAATATTAGATGTGGCGCCATAGTCCGGAGTGCGGCACGCAAGGATGCTACGGTCCGTGTTGCAAATGGATCGAACCCCGCTGGACATGGTGATTCTGGGGTTACAAAAGATTGCGGCGCGATCGGAAACGAACCAGGCGCGCCCCTTGACAAGGGAATGGGTGGATCAATATATCCGCAGCCGGACTGACTGGAAGGAACGTGTTGTTTTTTGACTTGCGTGGATAACGGCGAGTTGTCGTTCCGAGATTGCGGCCTTAACTCCCAACAATTTCACGCTGGAGCCGGACGGGAGCATAATTTTGGATTGGTCCGTGGCGCCAAGGACGGCGAGGGCGGATCCCCGCCGCGCCTCGCGGTTCGTCAGGATACGAGGGCAGGATGCGTTCGACACTATAACGTTATGCAGGACACTTCAAGAAAACGAAAGCTTACGAATCTTACGACTGCTCACGTCGAGCGATCTCTGGTTTCTTGGAATGCCACGGCGCACTCCACAAAACAGGGTGCGTTGAGGCACGCAGCTCTAATCGTGGAGACGCACAATTTTGACCCACACGTGATCTTGCAGTTGGCGAAGCACGTTGACCCTTTCGACCTTCCCCAGAGCATAGTTTGATATTTGGGGAGGTACACCACAATGCTGACCCAGGTGTCTTCGCTGGTCGCATTGATGTGAAGGGGAACTGTGAAGGGCATGAACTCTGGTTGAAGGGAGAGAAGCGTTTTTTATGCTTTTTGTCATCATGCTGCTACAATAACGCGACGCGAGCCAAAGACGCGTCCGGCCACTCCACAAGATGCACGAACCATCCCGCCCCAGCAACAAGTCAACGTGCCCGTGTTGAATCTGGAGTGGATCCAGAGTCGGTTGCACCCGGCTACCCTGGAGAGACTCATGCAAGTATGGGGACTCTTCGGGCTGTCCCCTTTCCCTCTGCCCTCCTCCGGCAAGGCGCGCGAAGGCTCACGGAGGATTCCAACCGCTGACGCGCGATTGCTGAGGGAAGCGGGAATAATCGAGGACGCTTTGTCCACAAGAACAGGCGGATGGGTAATACCTTTTCGGTTGTGGTGGAGAAAACCGCCGGTTTACGACGATGGATTGCGTGGTCACGCGACAAGAACAGAGACGACCCTTATGAGGCTGATGTTCCTCTTCTACACATTTCCCATTATTTGCCGCCTGTGATGGCTGAGGCCGCTTCCTGCCTGGACTTAAAGGCATCCTTTTTTCAAGCCCCTTTACCGCGGGAGACTCGGCATCTCTTTCGATGCCGCGTGGAGGACGGCACGCTGGTGGAGCTTACATGGCACCCAATGGGATACAAGGTCAGCCCAGAAATTCTCCAGGTTATTATTAATTCGGCAATTGCGGGGTGACGACGGTGGTTCGCCCCCTCTGGGCCGCACCTCCATTGGTGCGTATCGACGTTTGGATCGGTAATATACGCATTGCAGGGTCGATAAGCGATGTGACATGGTGGGAGGCCCAAGTACTTCGTAATGCGGTCGGCCGCCACGCCACGATAGGGAGGACCGCGAATCGGGTACTACGCAGTACACCTTCCTGGGGGTGCAGTTTGATCACACTCACCGTGCGGTATCCCTGAGTGACAAGTTTTTCCGGTCTTTACGCGCCATGCCGGCGGTCAATTCTTTAATCATCGCGGAAATGGAGGTTGTGGCGTCACGCTTTTTGTATGCGGCGGCCATTTTGGGCACGTGTTTATGTGCCTACCGCTTTCTCATCAAGGCATTGCGACGAAGATTATCCGCACTTGACCGGGGGATTGTGCTGGAGACATCCCCGACGAAAATTCCGCCGGCAGCGGTTGGTTTGGGCGAGAGATTGCGACACATCATCGAGGATATAACCGTAAGCGAATCATCGAGTCCACCGAAAAGGCGTCGGCCGCCATCATCAGGGACGCGTCGCTCCATGGATGGGGAGCCGTCTTCATTCCAGACTCCGGCGACGTTATAATTGCCGGAGGAAAGTGGAAGAAGAAGCCTTTTCGCATCATGCAGGCCGAGGTGCGCGCGGTACGCTTAGCCTTATCGGCCTTTTCCACCATCCTGCCACGCACCATCGACGTTTGGATGAGCAATACTTCGCTGCAAGGAGCGGCGAATAAAGGCAGATCAAAACCACACGCCATGACGTGGGAGCTGCAACGGATATATGAGTTTTTGGACCCTCGCGGAATGCGGGCAACTTTTGCATACGTACGGTCTGCGGAAAACCCCGCAGACGGCATATCACGCGGTCGTGTTTTTGCACCTGAGGACTTGGCGAAGGGGTGGAACTTGCGAAGGGTAGCGGCGGGGTCTTTTGGCTGGAGGATCCCAAGGTTTTCCACTTCTCAAGCAATAAACAAATATATATATATATATCCCATTCGAACAGAGTGAACCGGCCACGATTGCGGTTATCGGATGATATGCGCTTACTTGGCGGTAAACTTTGAGGATGTAGTGAACCCGCTCTTATTCCATTCATCCCCCTTCATTCCCGCCCTGCTTGGTTTCTGCTATTGAAAAACACCAGATCCGGCCAGCCGCCCAGGTGAACATTCCCTCATGGAATTGCTGTTGGCGCGGCGCGGACAGCATCGACCAGCGCCCGGACCAGCCGCGCATTACTGGGGCACATCGCGGCACCATGGGTTTTTGGTGGCACGTGTTGCACTACTCCTCTTTGCTTCTGAAAAATGGACAATGGTTATGTTTGTTTTCTTTTGCTCGCGATGCGTGGCTTAACGGACATTTGTGCTGGAGGACTGAATTTCTGCGCGCCTGCGTGGTGGCGAGGTGGTCTGGAGGGAGGAGACGAGTCCCAGCACCGCATGCACCCACGTGCGTCTTCTGATGCGGGCAGGCGATGGGAAGTCGCCGTGACCCAATGGGTGCAGGGGTGTCCGTGGCTGCTGTGCTGAGGGCGGGGACGAGCGCCCTCGCCGCGGCGTTCCATACGGATGGGCCTCTCCTGTATTTTATTATTATTTGTTTTTTGCTGCAGGGGAATGGCTGGGTCCTAAGGGTGGGCGGCGAAACCGCTCAGCCGTTTCCTCTTTGATCGGCCTATTGGTGTGGAGGCCTGCCCGAAGCGATCCTCCTCGCCCCACGCGGGAGGCGAGCGAAAGACGCACTTGGCACCTCCTTTTTGTCAGTCATGAATGATCGTGGGAGCGCGGAGTAACGCCGGACTCGCCGTGGGCCACGGAATGCATCCGTCGCGGCCATGGCAACAGCATGGCGAGGGTGCGAGGTGTTTGCATCTATTTTATTATCTTTTGTTGGTGGAAATGGCGTCGCAGACTATTTTTTCTTTTATCTCCTGTGCATTCACTTCACTCCGTGTGCGTGCCACTGCGTACATGGGGTGCTGGTATTTTTTAGGAGCTTGTGAGAAGAATGTTAGCGAGAGGGCTGGCTAACTTAATTAATGTATATCCTGATAAAACGAATACACTTCTTTACGGCACTTTTCTATCGTATGAATTTTAGAAAGGCCACGACTTTGGGGTACCGATAGCGGCTAGATAATTTTTGGTTCTTATTTTTTACCTTCTCTCTCACCCCCTTTTGATTCACACCTTGCCGCGGGGTCTTGTGGTTGGAGGAGCCCAAATTCTTCCACCTCGTAGGTAATAAATGTCCCCAATCCGAATACACTGCACCGAGGCACGAGAGTGGCTATCCGAATATATATATATACATGTGGTGGAAAATTTAATGATTTGACGGACCTACAGGTCTTTTCATTCACCCCTCTTCTTTTCCGTTTTGTTTGATTTCTAATGATAACTTTAGGATACGGCCAGCAGCCCAGGTGGATATTCTTTTTTTATTCATTTATATTGTTTGTGTTCGATGTACTCGCACCTTTGTTTTTTCTCAAGTTATTCCGTGTGCGGGGTCGTGCTGCGCTTGTTTCCTTTTGCACATGCGCCGTTACGATGGGTTATCGGTGCGGACGGTGTTGGCCAGTGTGGGCCCGTGTGTTGGACTCATGAGGATCCCTTTTTGTTGTTGTTGTTGTTGGGGGCATTGAATTATTGCGTTCTTTTTTTACGTGCACAGTAATTACCCCTCGTATGCATATGTGAATCTTTGAGGGCCGGGGCCATTCCCCTTTTGCAAGGCCACAGGGATTTTTTCTTGCATGTCATTCTGCCCGACCCTCTCAAGACGTTTGATCGTTTGACAGGGTGTTTCCGCACCCCTAAAGCACTCTTTTTGCACCGTTGTGGCCTCTCTCCCTTTATTTTGTCTCTGCCACGCGAAAATAGAGGACTCACACGCTCTCCCACACGACGAGTAATATTATGGAAGTTGAGTTCTTGGGCATGCGAACGCGCTCCGCGACAAGGAACGCAGTCCGGTGGACGGTGTTGTTCCTCCTGCTGCAGTACCTGGGCAGCCATCCCTCCTTTACTGCTGCAGGAAAAGTGGAGGAAGGACACGTGGTTATTGAAATTGTGAAGTATTTCCACTACGCCAATCCGATTTTTTTTGAAAATTATGCCGGTGACGTGAGTTATTTTAGCTCTGATGACGCCTGCCATTTGGGTGGAGGCGTCCTTTCTGCGGATCAAACACCTGCTGCACATGTGGCCATCGCGGGTGAGTTGAGAAAGACCGCAGTCCCTAAATACAAAACAAGCCATGTGTACCTGGGCGGAGACGCCGACCACGAAGCGACCCCAACAACAGATCCCAAAAAAAGGTGTGGACGAGGTTTGAAGTGGGCAACGTTAAACTGCATCTTCAAGTGGAATAAAGGTGCGTTTGCCGACTCCTCGGCTGATGGTCTTGGTGTTGCTTTTTTCAGGGGCACACTGTATACGCTTGTTGGCGTGGGGCCAATGAACGGGTACAAGGCTTATTGGCCCTATCACTACCCTTATCACGGCAAGACGTTCTTAATACTTCGTCTGAAAACGACGGATAACAATGAGCAAGCAACGTGGTATGATTGGTATCCTGCGCCTAAAGACCACACCGACACGCCTTACCGTTCATTTGGCGTCGTCTGTGAGGCTCAAAAAGGGTACGTCGTCAGCACTACGACACTTCCACCGGCTGTAGTGGTTCCGTGGTTGCAGAAGAATTGGTATGTTGTCTTGATTGCAGTATTGCTGCCGGTTATTGCTGCCGTTGCGCTAATCACCGTCTGCTTCTACCGTTGCCGCGGTGTTGACGATGAATCGAAATGGGTGGTGCACATGGTATTGCGGGAGGTGAAACGTGAGCCCTTGTATGCAATTGACGGGAATGATGGAATCTACAACAATGATAACAGCCAGATGCTGCGTAGTTTAACGTTGGGTGATGAGGTGCTCATGACCGTTCCCTCTGGATACGAAAACTTTGAGGTCCCTAAGGTGGTAAAGAACCAAGGAAGCACCGTGTACGATGACGGAGATGTGGCTTAATTATTGTTTTTTCATTACTTATTATTTACGCCTCTCTGCCGCCTTGCATGTGTATTCACGTGTCTCTTGCAGTTCCTGCCTGTTTGTCCACGATTTTTAAATTAAAAAAGAAGAGATGTGGGTAATGCAGCGACTGTGGGAGAAAGGAAGCATCATGCGGAAAGAGCGGATCAAAAGGCATGATTTGGCTCCACCATTCTTTATTTTTTGTTTGTTTGTTTCTCCCTCTCAGTTTAAGGCTGCGCGCGTGTAGGCGGTGTGCCCTTTTCCCACCAGCATCTTCTCTTTTCCCTATTTACACTGGCGGCAACACGGCTGTGGGAACAAAAGGAAGGAAAGGGGAGAAAAGTGTCATTGTGAAATTGAATATCAATTTGTTAAAAATGTGCCATTAGAATGGGGAAAATCATTTTTTTTTTTTTTTACAATTTCTTTTACTTCGAAAAATGTGGGAAGAATGTGCGTCACGATGAGGCTGAGCAGATGATAAATTGCATTAATTAACTGCCCCGTTTCCTTGACGATTGTTGGATTATTATTTTGTTAGAGGGTGTGCTGAATTTGTTGCGGTTTTTTTTTGTTTGTTTGTGTTTTATTTTATTTTTTTTTCTCATTCACCGTTCTCGCTTCTGCCGCTCTTAACGCGGAGGTGTCTGACGGATGTGAAGCCCCCCAAATACTTCCGCTTCGTCATTTCACAACGAGTCCGGTTAGTACAACACGTGAATTATGTATTTATTTTGGTTTTTGACTTGTGTATGGGTGTTGGATCCGCCTTCTCTGAAGTGTGGGGGATGCCGGGTGGTGCAGTAAGCCAAACTGTCACCTTCCATCGTTTTTTTTTTGTGATATTTCTCTGAATATTTAACGCGGCCTCATCCAGGCACGGATGACCATTTTTTGTTGTTGTTGTTGTTAATGTTTCTGCATGTGGTCTATGATCATCTTTAGGGGAAGGGGTGTTTTATAGGACGAGGTGGGGCTTCGTCTTTGCTTTTGGTGTGGAACGGTTGGCCACTCTAATATGCGCATGTATGTATATATATATGTGTGCGTGTATTGTCCTTTCTCTTTCCTTCTTTCTTTGGGGGGGTTTTGAGGTGGGGCATTTTCTTTACTTCTTCTATGTGGGCTGTTTTCCCTGCTGCGTGATCTGCCTTGACGTGGAGGGGAGTTGCGGCGTGCTGTTGGGTCCTCCACTTCCTCCAAAGAAAAAATATATATATATATACATATATATATATATGCGCATAAAATACAGGCGCGTATTCTGTGCGGCGGAACTGTCTGTGGATGCATACAGGCGACAAGGGAGGCTGCGTCTCTACCGTGCCCTTCTTAAAAGGGGAAACCGCTTTCCATGACGCTCCTGGCGGGGAATATTGGCGGAGGAAGTTCGAGGTGCCTTTCGACATCTTCGTAATGATTCAATAACGACGAGGGAGGTGGATCACAAGCTTCTTTTGGTGTGAGAACTGGCTGCCGCTATTCAGACCTACGCCGAGAACATTTACTGGCTCTATTCCCGAGATGAGGTTTCGAGGAGAATGATGCATCATTCCATTGAGCAGCATTGTCAGCGTATTGGGGAGACGGAGCGGTGTAGTGCCGTGGGAAATGCGGCAATAGAAACGCCAGTGGTGACCGAATTCAAGTCATCGGTGTACCATGTGCATCCGGACTGTCACGGGAGGATTGGACAGACGCCGTTGACGCACAGCCGTGGAATTTGGAGAGCGCGTGGACAATATGGATCCGATGTTGGCGGTCCCCGACAGAAGTTTTGTGCCCGTCGCTACAAGGCCTTATTCCCACAGGGTTGGGAATTGCACCAGCCTCTGCGTGCGAGCGTGTGTTGACCCTTTTTTGCCGCGTTATTAGGACTTGGGGTGCTGTTGTTGTCTTCTTTGCCTTCCTGCTTGCGTCTGTGTGGATTGCCTGGCGAATACGCGCCGCTGTTGTAGCGGAGGGGAATGACAGCGGGATTTGGCCTGAGAGGGGCCCTGGTGCGTCTTTTTTTGTGGCGAGCGGGACGGCGATGAGCTTCACGACGCGGAGGTGTTCGACGCCGTTGCTGGCTCCGCAGTTGTTGTCGTTGTGCCGCTGTTGTATACACCTTTGCGGGCGTTGGCAGGGAGGCGCAGGGTATTGATTGTGCGGACAGCCCAGTCGTTGTCAGATATTTCCGCGGACGCCAGGGCCGTTGTTGTTGGTGAGGAGTCGACCTGCTCGCCGTTCCTCCCGACTTCACGGTCAGTTTTGTCTGTATGGATTATTATCGACGCAGAGCGAGCCGCAGATGTGGAATTCGCAAAATTATTTCTCATGGAAGTGGTGTGTGCGTGCGTGGATGGGGTCTTCCGGGGTCTTATGCGGACACGCTGTAGGCGCCGCATGTTTCGCGTGTGTGTTTTTCTTGTGCGCACCGCAGTTGGAGCGGATGCTGTTGTTCGTCTGGCGAGCAGTGAGGGTACTGGCTGCTGTGGTGTTTCTACCGTTGCTGTCGAAGTGGCGGTGAGTCTGTCGGCTCCCAGCCTGTTTCGCCTGCGTCATGGTGCATTGCTGCGGAGGGAGCGTCGACTCCATGACGCCGCGTCTCGCTATCTAGGCCCGTGTGTTTACTTGGACAGCCGTTGGAGGTCCCCTGAAGTGGCAGACCGCGTTTGGCGTGCGATGGCACCAAAGGGTTTTGCCACAATGTGGTGTCGTTGTGTGACGGGTGTGCGTCGACCAAATTGCTCTGGGCCAAGGAACGGGCCCGCAGAGTATTTTTTGTTTGGTGATTTGGTAAGAAGCAGGCGTCATGTGAGGTCCACACTATTCGGGGGAAATAAACGGTGCGGATACCGAAGGGAAACCGGAGCATGAACCCTCCTGCATGATGTCTTTGCTGCGTCCTCTGGCTGGCTTTGTGATGCGCACGGGCGAACCATCCATTGTGGTGTTTGCCGTGGCTTCATCTGCCGGTGGCCCGCAGTATTCGGCGTTGTGTTACACCGAGACGACGCTGATGTTATTGGGCCTACTGTTTTTTCTCTTTTCTCTACCGTTGGGCCGCGGATCTCTCACTGCGGCAACGTCATGAACGTTTTGCAGCCATGCTTTGAGCGGTTTGCCTATATAAAACCGCCCTCTTGGTGTGCACCTGTCCCCTATGTATAATATATCTGTGCGTTTATTTGCATACAAGGAGGGAGGCAAGAGGGGTGGGAGGAGGCAAAGGAAGAGAGAGGGATCCCCGACGCGCATGGATGCGCTGAACCCAAATTCTTGGGAATCCGAGGGGAGATGTGGACCGGACCTAAGCGTGCAGTGCGGAGTCGGATGCATTTGTATGTGGCCGGGGAGGAGGCCGCGGGGGCGCCTAAATGAGGAAGGAGAGAATTGAAGGAATCTAAAAAGAGGTGTGGTGGCGTCGAAGGGGTTGCGGTGACTCTGGTGTCTGTGTTCCTGTGCGTGTTCCGCATCATGCCCTTTTTTCTTCGACTCATCTCTCAGCCAGGATGCGGCCACAGCACGGGAGTCGCTCACATGGACCACGCGTTTCCCGGGAACCATTTCAAGGCAGCACTTTTCCTCGACCATGAGTTTGGGGACATTGAGGCAGCCGCACGGCTTGGCGACAAGCAGAAGCTTCTTTTCTACGCTCTGCGGCGGCAGGCCGAGCATGGTCCATGCACGGGCGCGGCGCCGTCCATATGGTGGACGCGTAAGCGCATGAAGTGCGATGCATGGAAGCAACTGGGCGACATGTCTGTATATGAGGCGATGGTAAATTTTGTGAGGTCACTTGGGGGTGTTTAGGGTGAAGTCAACTGGGTGGAGAATTGCAAAGCTTTGGAGAACAACATCTTACATGCGGCGGACAAGTGGCAGCACACATGTCCCAGGAGAGGAGGACACGTGGTACGATGATGTGCGTGCCCACCGGGAGCCCACCATGGAGACTGCAAGACATTTAGCATCGCAGGTCGTTCGGTTGCGACGTGAGGCGCATCAACTGCGATTGTCGACGGCTGAAAAACAAACGAGGGAATGTGTTGCTGTGCGTCTGGCGCTCCCCACCCATCAAAGCACCAACGGGCAACGCGGGCTTTCCTCAGAAGGCAGCGCCGACGCCGCGAGGGAGACCCGTCGCAAGGAGGAGTGGTGGCCTGTTGCCGTCGCCACCGTTCTCCTGTCCGCCCACGAAATTGGCGGAGGTGGCGTTAGGAAGCCCTCGACTGCCTTCCCCATCCCCCCGGGAGGCGGGGAATGGGCTGGGCGGGATGGCTCGGTCGTTCCGAGCGAGCGAGAGGGAGAGGGGAGGAGAATGAAACGCCCCTTTGCGGAGTGCATGGCCGTGATTGGGGCGTCGCTGTTCGCGTTTCTTTTGTTTCTTTTTGAATTAATTGACGCTGCCCTGCTCCTTGTGCCCCCGTTTGGGCAAATGTGTCTTTGGCCCGGACCGAGCGTGCCTTGAATGGTGCCCATGGGCTTTTTGGATGCGCTCTTTTATGGTGTTCCCTCTCTTTCGCCCCTCTCCCACGACTATTTCCCCCTCAGCCTCATTTGCGTTTCTTTTTTTTTTTCACGTCCAGTTGTGTTCGTACCTTGGCCCGATGGCAAGTGCACTGTAACGTCACGCCGACGTCAACGTCCACAAGGAACCACGAAAATATGAAGCGCGTGGTTGGCGTCTTTGCGGAGGGTGTGGCTGCAGGACCTTCTGACCCGACGAGTGTGGGGCGCGTTGATTGTGGAAAAGCGGTGGTTCCGTTCCCATGTTTCGCCGAAACAATTTTGCTTCATGCGCCTTCTTTGTTTGGGCGGCGCAAAGCCCGCACGATGCTGATTGGAGTCAACGGAATGCGTTCCGCTGGCGGGGGTGGGGCCCCAACATCTCTCGGGGGGACGGATTTAACGCAGAAGAATGAAATTTGACGGCCGACGAGATGAAGAAGCCTGCGCTTCACGCAATAGAAAAGGTTCCGTGGGGACCCGAGCGCACCACGTGGAGA